ACATAAAATAAAACATTTATATCTTTATGTTTGAAGCCTGAAATGTGGCAAAAGGTTGAAAAGTTCAAGGGGGCCGAATACTTTCGCAAGGCACTGTACGGTGTTTGAGATGTCTGTCACCAGAAAACGCACGGTTTTGAATCCAGGTCAGTGGGAGAATGATTTTCCAATTACAGAATTAAAGCTGTATACTGTTTAGACTTTTAATCATTTTAATTGTGTATTACAGCATGTTAAACATTAAACTGATTTAAAAATTAGGTATATTTTATAAAAGGAAAATTGCTCAGTTGGACAAAAGTACTTCCACCTTCATAAATATTTTAATTTTGCATAAATATTTTATGCATCAAAGTCTTTAATTTGGGAATTTACAGTGGGTTGTAGTTTAATATAACTTGATAGTAATATTAATATGGAATCCTGTAACTAAGCTAAAATGTCACAAGTGGATGTTTTGGAAACATTATGACATTTGTTCTTTTAAAAAACCTTTCATTGTCCTTATAGTGGTAATGGGGAATGAAATGAAATGTAGCGCGCTTTGATGTAGGCAGTTCAGAGCCTAATCAGAGAATTACGTTCGGTTTGTTTCTTACATGGCCGAATACACAAACATATTCCACTATTATGCATTAATTGTTGTTGGCTCTGGTGTGTGTGTGTATCTGGATTAATTATTATAAGTGAATGGTTTCGTATTTATGGATTTCTTCATGGAATTCTTTAAGTTAAACAAAGGAGGGAAGAAGGGTTATTTTTACAATTAACAGTAACCGGAGAACAGCTTATCAATATGTTGAAACCCATATCATGATAGTAAAGACAGACGTGTTACACCTTGACCCACACGTTGTTTACTATGTTGTGTGGCTCTGCGGGAATTATTCTGTAAACTGAAGAGTTATAGAGGAGAAACGTTGTGTATTGCCTCTTTTTATATTTTGTAAGAACATTCCAATTTTAATGCAATACGGAATGTATTATTAATATCAATAATGAATGACCATGGATGAGCTGTAAACGGAAATGTTAGTCTTTTCAGCTTGGAATTTAAGTTAAGTTCACTTTATTGGCCATATACAATTTCTTGTATTAGGAATTTCTTTTCACATACCCCAACTTGCTCTCCATGAGACACACAGTGAGAGAAGCCTGGGGTCAGAGCGCAGGGTCAGCCATTTATACAGCACCCCTGGTACAGATGGAGTTAAGGGCCTTGCTCAGGGGCCCTACAGAGTAGGATTCCTCTGCTGGCTGTTGGATTTGAACCGGCAACCTTCTAGCCACAGGCACAGATCCTTAGCCACAGAGCCTCTGTACCTTTACAGCGATCCTTTTGGCTATATTTTTACATAGCTGGATGTGTAAAAATAGATTGGATTAATACATTGATTAAAATATTTCACATATACTTTGAAACCATACGGTATCTTATTGTACATACAGTAAATTTCTACAATATATCTGCCGTGTTTCAGTATATCTGTGGATCTAAAGAATTTAAAATCTGTCTGACTGTACTTTGGATCTTGTTTAACTGAGCAGAAATTTACCTTGCTCTCAAAAGCGGCTTTGTTAGAGTTTGTGTTAACACGCATCCTTTTGAATGGATTTTTATCACTTTTATCATCTTTGTCTTTGTGGGGGTGAGGGTTGAATGCCTGTCTCAGTTTATCATCTGATGTTTCCCCAGTAAACCGAGACTTAAACTTGCTGTCTGCCTTGCGACATTTCTCAGACTATTCTAAAGCACGGCGCAGAATAAAATACGCTAAACTCAAAACCTTGATGGACACCACAATTACCTATAATACAAACTACAGTACCGTAATACCTGTAGTACAAAAACTGCTAAAACTAGCAGCACGTGTGAATCAACGGAAAAATACTGACTCCACAAATCAAAGATCCTGAACAAGCCCCCAAATATGCTACATTCCCACTATAGTTATGGCAAGATGAAAGTGGGAAGCTGATTTTTTAAACATTTTTTTAAGAAAATCAAAAATAAGAAACAATTCCATGTTCCTGCCTAATGTAGACATTGCATGGCTTTAAAAGCTTAAACTTTAAACAGTAGAAAATACATTATATTCGTCATTGTATTTCCATTTACAACAGATGCAGATCTTAACATGAATCCAAAACCTTTTAAACAGAAGCTGTTAACTCTACTTCACACCTTTATGTCACCCAGCAGCTCTTTTGTTCATTTATATTATACTACGAATAAGTCCCTGGGGCATACCATCCAAGGTTTTGAAATGAAAAAAAATCTGACCTTTGTTTGGATGAGAGAAACGGGTACAGTATCTTTTGAGAAGTCGTGTACTGATTGCAATGAATCTGATTTTGACAAACCTTAAAGAGCTAATTATGTTTGAAGAATATGAAATCTAGTAGTTTTCTAGGTGGGAAGCTGACACGTTTTGTTTAAAATCTGTCTACCTGCTTCTTTCACGAATTTGTTATGCAAAATATTTTTGCACTTGATACACTCCGAGATCATGATTGATTTGACTTTATATTTGCCCAATTAAACTGAAACAGAAAAAGAAGATGTTCTGAAGTTAATTTATTTGGAATTTGATTCGTTATA